AGTAAATTAAGAAGGGTGGCTGCGAGGTTTAGTGTAGAGCCCAAACAGATTTATCTGATGATTTGATAAATGAGTGTCTACATATTTTTATGAATGTCTGCATCTAACTGCACAGCGAAAGAATAATTTTTCGGTCTTTCGTAGCCGTAGAATAAAAAACTACGTCTACATTCGTTAGCTGTGCTTTCAATAAAATGCAGTTTGACGGAAACTTTTGATTGACTTTTTTGCGACTTATCACTTCCGAAGAAGAGTTCTAAATTGAGTCCAAATAAATGCTTTTTACAACAATTGTGTTATTATTTTTTATAACTAATATTTTATGTGGAAAAGGTATGAAGAAATGATATGGTAGGAGGGCGGCTACAATTAATTAACCCAGACCGGCACTGAGCCGAAATCTGAGTGAAAATTATTGAAAAGTCAATCAGTTTTATAAGATTCAATGTTACAGGGTCGTCTCTAACGTTTGGGCAGCCCCGGGCATGTCGTTAAAAAATAACCTTCCTTAGAAATATTGACTGACTTTTCTTTAAAATTGTTATTTATGCAAATGTATGTACAATTCAAAATTAAACAATATAAATATTAATAAAAAAACAAATAGATTTTCTAGTTTTAATTTCTGCAAAAGTAGAAATTAAATCGTTATTATCTAATGCAGTTGCCACCTTATTTTCTATTGAAATTAATGCCAATCCGCTGAGTATTTTGTCCATACTTAAATAATTTTCTATAATTTTTAATTTGGAGAAGCGTCTTTCTTTAGAAGCTGCAGAAAGAGGTAGAGTCAATAATATTCTTAAAGTTATTACAGTATTAAGAAAAATTCGGGGGTCTTTAGTATAGGGCTAATCTTCGGATTAGAAATTATTAGGTCTTGTTTGAAATGACTTTTCAGCGATTTTTTCCTAGAGTCATTATAGTATCTAGGTAACGCTTTTCTGGTCAATGAACTGCATGTAATACGAAAATAAATAAACCAGGCAATCAGACAGTGAAGGCACCCCCATTTGTAGTGTTTTATAAATGGTATGTGTCTTAAAATTTTGGTTCACGTCACTTAAAATTTCGCTTTCAGGTCAACTATATTTTGGATGCGACAAAACGTAAATTAGATTTCAACAATGTTGGTACCAAAAACTATTACTTCGTTTAACAAATAAAAATAGAGAACAGCCTAAACCCACCTTTGTAGGTATATACATTTCAACTGAGTTTGAAAGGATAATTTAAACGCATTGTTTGGCGAAAAGATTAGTCATGCACGCCCTTACGAAATCATGGCATTATCAAAGGTTTGCGTGATCTCGCTCAGTTTTTAAAGCCCCTAATCCACGCAAGTGCTCCCTTATGAATTAGTTGAAATAACGACGCAAATAACACGATCGCGGCTATGTTTTGTTTTAGTCCGACCTTATATACTTACGAACGTTAGTAGGCATGTTAAGAATACATTTCGATTCGACTAACAAAATTAAGGGAAAAGAAATCGACCGAATCATGTTGTCTTAATAACAAGTGCTGTGGGGGTACGCAATAAGAATATAGCTAATAACACAGCTAACAGCAGCAGGAAATAGTTATTGAGTATCATAAATGTAAAGCTTTACGACAAATTATTATTGATATAATCAGATAGCAATATTCTAATATTATTGATCCGTATTGCAAGCGGTGGGTGGTTTGGAATATAGCTTTCAAAGTAAGGCCATAAAATGCATTACAAAGCTTTAACGTATTTCAGTGGCGGTGCGGAAATATCGAACGAATACACAAGAAAACATGTCAGCGACAAAACGTACAACGTGACAGAACGTAGGTACCGTATAAACGGCTGACTACCTGCGAAGGGTCTGCTAATTTTTGGATATATTTTGGACCACTTTTATTTATCAATATTTAATTTTTTACGTTTCTCGTCACGCTGTCAAACTGACCATTTTGGCGTGCTTAAAATCTACTGTTGTGAAGCATCCATAATTCCTTTGCTTGAGTGTTTCATAATGATAAAATTATAGACAAAATAATAGAAAAACAATGTGGGCTTGAGAGACGGTGGCGCCTGAGAGTGAATTTCTATCCAACTGTCTTGCACATATTTGATTTGTTAACTGGTACGTTTTGCAATCAACACATTATTTAAGGACGCTGCAAGTTGTCGCGAAAAATCTAGTTGTATGTTTTGTGGCTGGTACGTTTTATCGGGATACGATAACAAACGAATGTGTTCTGTCAATTGTCAGGCAATAATGTAGGTAAAAAGTATTTACTTTTACCCATAACTGCTGGGTTTCAACAACGCTTTGTAGTTACAGAAAATGCAGCAGTAGCTTCTAAAACTTTGACGGCCTGTGTTAATAGTCAAGAATTTATTTTTCGGGCTTATTGTTAGTGGCTTTAGCTTCAGGGTCCTCATTTTCTGTTGATGGTTCTTCCTTCGGTTAGGTTGTTTGTTCAACATTTCGTTAAGGATAGTAGATTTTCTGTGAGGTTCAATTAGATTTCTATAAAGAGGACAACGCTACGTGTTCGCACCAGAAATAAGCTTTTAGGATACCATACATGCTACCGGAAGCAAACAACTCCAACCGAGGGAGAATCAAAGAAGGAGAAGAGCACGGCCAACAAACCCGAAATAAAAAATTTACAAACATAAAGTCTAGCATCTTATTATTCATTTTAGCACAATTGTTAAATGTTGATTATTGTATCGTTTGTTAACGTAATCGACTCATTGCTCGCTGCCGATATTCCAGCCACAGCAAACCCATGCGTTTGCATACTGAAAGTAAGAATAAGAAATTGTTTGCGTAACTTGAACGAATCCAAAATGGTCAATGAGCTATATTAAAGTAATAAATCCTTCTTTCTTAACGTCTGCTGTGAGTTTAGATTAAAAAGTTTTTCTTAATGACCGGGTTTTGTAAAGCAGACAACTTAATGGATTTTTAGTCAATTTTTTATTTTGACGTTTCGGCTCCTTGGTTTTGGACCATCTTCAAAATTTTTGTATGTTCTAATTACATTATTTCTTCTTTCTTTGATACAGTGTGTTTTTGTAAAAGTATAAAATTGAAAGAAAGTTAATTTTGCACATTAATAAATAAAAGCAACACTGAGATGAGAGGCTCAGAGTGTGATAAGTTGTTTATCCAAAGTTTCGAAGTGTGTCAGATACAATACAACTAGTTCGATTACAATTTTATACTTTTACAAAAACACACTATATCAAAAAAAGAAGAAACAATATAATTAGAACATACAAAAGTTCTGAAGATGGCCCAAAACCAAGGAGCCGAAACGTCAAAATAAAAACTTGACTAAAAATCCATTAAGTTGTCTGCTTTACAAAACCCGGTAATTAAGAAAAACATTTTAAAGTAATAAATGTTTTAATATTCGCTACTGCATTCCATAATATTTAAAAGCCCTAAGAGATAAATATGTAGATGCTTGATTAATATAATATGACCACTTAATTTAATCTATGTCAGTCAGATTATTGGTAGAATTTGTACTTTTCAGTATTACCTGCTTTATTTATTACGGTATCAATGGTGCATGAATAAGTGAAATGTAGTTTTAATGCCGCCTCTGTTTTTACAGGGGCGGCTTCGAGATCTCCTAACTCTTCCAGTTGGCAAGAGAAACCAAAGTGCCAACACTGCGGTAGAGTGTATTCTTCCCCCGGTAATTTGAGGCAACATATAATTAACGTACACATACAGACTTCGCAGGAAAATTGGAAAACCTGCGAAATTTGCGGTAAAAGATGCAAAACTAAGCACTACCTAATAAATCATCAGCTCCAGACGCATGGGATCCATCAGAGACAGCAAACTGGCAATTTGTATTATCATTTAATGGGAAATATTTTCTGAAGGAAAATAACGTCGAAAAAGTAACTGCGTAACTACTCACATACCTAAGTATGTCGAAAAAAGACCATATCGAACCATTTCTCTCGTTAGATTTAGAATAAAAAGTGTGATAACAATAAAGTGCAGCGTCAATTTGGCATATTGCAGATGCCAAGATGCTACAGAGACAGAGACGGACCTCCGCCGTTCATCGAGAGGTTCCACTCCGCGACCTGAAGTTCGAATGTCCTCTTTGCGAGATCGTACTGGCATCTGTCGACGTGGCACGCGCCCACATTGAGGAACACTACCCGAGAGATAGTCCCCTTTGTCCCGTCACTGAATGTGGAAAACGCTTTTCCCATCCCAATTCCGTGCGAAATCACATGCGTATAAAACATGCGACCCAATGGAAACGAATGAAAGAAATTAAATGGAGCTTGTACAATAATTACAGTGTTTATACAAACGAAATGGAATAATTAGCGAAAATTTTGAACACAAATGCAGCTGTTATTTTTCCCAGTCGGACGAAGATACTTTATTTAAGACGCTTTTGCACAAACAACGTTGATAAATATAGATATAAATTGTAAAAAAAGTATCTATTTAAATGTGATTTATAATATAAATAAGAAAATGTTTGGCTTGTGTACCTATTATCCGTTTAGTTAAGACGTAAATGAACAATATTTATTTTTAATAGTCGAACAATAAAGAAATTTAAGAAAATTAATGACTATTATTACCAATGCGGTTTGAATATTTTGGGGCATTCCAATTGTATACGTTTACATAACAGTCAGGACAGAATTCTACCTAATCTTCTAGACATTACCTAACGGCTTAATGTTATTTTAGTATTTTCAAAGCGATTAATTCATGAAGTTAAAGAATCGCAATCTGTGCATCATCATATTTTATTGAACATAACCCATAAAACTTGAAAGATTGTTTAAATTTCCATGGGAGTTTTATCGATTAAGATCATTAATATTGGTTTTCTATGTAATTTGACCTACTAAAAATATACTAATAAGGAAATTAGGTAAATTAAAATTGTAGTAGGTATAGATACTACAAATAATATTTTTGTTAGGTGAAAAAATCAACGAAAAATAATCGTTATCCTTTTACAGTTTCAAGACGTTCAATGGAAATGATGCGTGTAAGAGCAACAGATCCTAGACCGTGTCCGAAATGTGGAAAAATATACAGATCAGCCCACACGTTGAGGACACATTTAGAAGACAAACATACGATTTGTCCAGGTTACAGATGCGTCTTGTGTGGTACAGTGGCAAAGTCTAGGAATTCATTGCATTCTCACATGTCCAGGCAGCATAGAGGGATTAGTACGAAAGATTTACCAGTCGTTCCCATGCCAGCTCCCTTTGACCCTGAACTTGCCAGCAAGTAAGTAGCATTAGTTAAAAACGACAAAATTGTTAAGTTTTAATTCTTAAGGAATTAGTCTATAGTGTTTGATTTTTGTAATTAGACTACTGGCAAAAGCAAATATTCACGTTAGCCCGGCAGAGTTGAGAGCGAGAGCGTCGCCAACAGGGCCGAGACGGTCGGATATGAAGCTGGATGCAAAAAGTGCGTTTTCGGGAGCGCCCTCGGAAGCAGGAAGTTCGATATGTGGAGACAATGATCCAGAAGATCTGACTATGTCTAGCCATCGATACGGTGGCTTAGATTTTACAATGTCTCCACCATTAAACCACCATAACAACCCCAATATGAAATTCAACCGAGTGAGTCAGTCCGGGAAGGCGATAGCTGCTAAAAGTATTGATACGATTGCTCAAAATATGTCGAAAGAACCGTTTCCGGCTCCGATGGTGTCTCCTGTGACGTCGACAAATACGACTGGATCGGCAATTCTAGACACTTACCTCCAGTTTATCACCGAAAACAGTCTGAGTATGGGTATGATGTCGGAACAAGCTGCCGCTGCTATGCATGCGGCCAAAATGGCGCACCTCAATGCCAGCTTGGGTCTGGACAAAACGTCACAGCACTTTTTGGAAAAGATGCAACAACAGATGGGAGTGACGAACGACTTGATGAATAAATCAGAAGAAATTCGAAGGAATAACGACGAATCGGTCGCTATAGATCGCGGAGGTGACAAGGATCAAGACGATATTATCTCTTCAGGAGGGGAAGAGGACGATTACAGTGAAGAAGAAGCTGAACCCGAAAGTTTGAAAGCTGGCGAATAAATTATTTTAGGTCCGTTTATGAAAATACTCGAGTTATGTATGAATGTATGTAGGGTGCTGTTTGCCAGTTATAATGCTGCCATTTATCTTGCCATTGACGACTGTCTGTCAGGGAAAACAAATTCATTTCGTTATAATTCCATCCATCTACCTCAAATCAATATTTCTTTTTGTTTTTCTTTTTTTAATATGTATACAAGATTATATAACCATAGTATTTTCCAGTATTCTTAAAACAGATATTCTCAAACAAATAACTATTCCATCCGTCTACCTCAAGAAAAAAGGAAATAGATTATACGAGTTGATAAGGGTCTAGACGTATACGGTTTAATATTGTTTAAGGTAAGTTTAAAATTATGGAAATCAAGCTTCGGAGTTAATTGCAATAAGACGCATAGACTTGATATTAAAAAGAAAATAAATTTATATTGTGCCAGAAATGATAATAATGTAGTTTAATATTACCTATTAGAATTTTCACTACAACCGTTAAGACTACACCGTTTTCCCCCTATAATATACATTTTTCGGTTCTATTTACAGTTCAGGTGTCGATCAAACTGGTACAACAAAGTTGCCAAAATTAATTTCGCAAATACCGAAAGTAGGAGATTTTTAAAGTTAATTTGATACCAAAGTTAACAGTTATCTTTATTGATTTTTGCAAATTTGTTTTTCTTTTTAGCATTGCACACCTCTTAAAGGTTAGGTTAGGTTTGTTAGTCAGGACAACCTCAACTAACCATAACCTAAGCTTCGGAAAAAATATAACATTAATAAAAAACAGAAATTAGTAGAAAATCAGTAAACGTTAATTGTCAGCATTGAATTTCTAACTGTGGCATCAAATTGGCCCCTAATTTCGCCATTTGGCATTGTGGTGTACCAGCTTGAGGGCCATCCAGTTCATTCCAACAATCCTTTGTAATCAAATTACATATTATTGATATCTAAACGTGCAAAAAGTATATGACGATATTTTTGTACAATATTTAAAAGGAGAAGTAACGTTGTCACAAATTTTAATGCAATACTTAGAAATAGTAAGATCGGTTTTTCGTCTTTGTTTACAAACTCTTCCATGTAACATAAATATACGCTTCCATATTAAAGCAATTTAGATGTATACCGAAACAATCATCGCCGTTGTATTGTATGTAGGTATTGTATGTAATACTACTACTTACTTCTACTTCTTACTACTCACGCGAAAAGGAAAACAAACATCATTAATTCACTCAGGTTCGTAATCATTTGCTATCTAAAATTGCAGTACAAAGGAAACGTTTTAATACTTATGTATATATATTTTATTATAATGGAAGATATTAACTTCTACTCAACCTACATCAGGGATTAAAAGCGTGTACCTCTGAAATTTTATGAAATATTTACACAATAGTGGCCAATTTGTACTTTCGGTCAGGTTGCGGTCAATAGCGATTAAAGTATGGACATATAGTGGACAGTTTGGCGGTCAGATGCATGTACACGATAATTTGAGAAGCATTTTTACAATTTTAAATAACGAACGTTCAACCCACTGTCTAACGATAAGGTCGATTATCAGGGGCGCACTTACGAGATATTTTATTCCACTTTTTATTTCAAGATATATCGATTATCTGACAAGGACTATGAATAAAATTAAATTTGTTTTTAATAAGAATATTTGCTATTAAGATCGTCGGCCTAAGTACGGATCTCATATCTGCGAACGATGAGATCTCTTAATGGTTAGTGAACTCTACTTTACATATTTCTTTCGTTATTGATCTATTACCTTATTGAAAGTATAAATTAGCCATAATAGTCCAACAATCAGTGATACTTTCAGGTTAGTTTCATAAGAAATAATTCAGTTCAGGATATATGTATAAATAAAAAAATATATATNCACGTTGTATTTTTTTTGTTGATTTAACTAAATATTAATAAGTAAGAAAATATTTTTTTTTAATGTATCTACAGTAAAACAATTTGAAGTTCTTTGTTACGAAGTAACATTTGTTATTTGATTCTGCCAAAATTTTGGTGTTTTTTTCTCGGGTTACCTAATAATAACTTTTATAATGGCAGAAAAATGAAAGCGAGCAAAGTGCAATAATCGTAGTAGTATTTTCATCTAGTTGTTTACATCTCTAGTCGTATTTATAATTATCCGTTCTGAACTAAATGGGTCATACTTTAAAAATAAATGCGAAACGTATCACGCACGTGCGTGTATGAATGGCTAGCACAAATGTTAAATCGGTAAACCGTAGCAAGAAATCCTACCTGTAATCGTAGATTAGTTATGAAGCGTATAATTATTTATACTGTACGCATCTCCTAGTATCCTATGGGTTGCTTGTGTTATACACAGTACCATTGTTTCTCTTTAGAACTAACTGTTGTTTAAAACAAATTTTACAAATTAAAATTATATTAAAGAATCGAAATTATATCAATAAGAAATAGACGAGATAGACGCTTCCGCTTCCGAAACTACAAAAGTTGCGCTTTTGCACCCGGTTTTTATCTTTTTGAAAATTTAAGCAAGTTGTAAAAATTTACTACTTTTCCATTTTCAAAACGCAATTTAAATAGAATTGTTCGTTGCATGGCTGCATGTTGTGCAGGTATCTCCGCCAGCTTTCAGCTACCCGTCTGTAACATTGTGAACGTATTATTATCAACCGTTGATGTTTATGAAGTATTATCGTCAATGCAGCGTTATAGCTGACAAAATTTTATTAATAATAATATTGTCCTTGTGCAAATAAGTTTATTATAATTTAGAACCTCAATGTATTTCCTAGTATTTTGTAAGTATGTTGATATTTTCCGAATTTTATTCTCTTATTAGTTTCTTACTTTAATCTGAAAAGGTTCAGGATTTTCAGCTCCCTCTTAGCTAGTTCTCCTAGTAGTTTCATTTCGAAAATACTAATACAGTTATAGCGTTTATTTATTTTGTATAGTAATTGCTCGGTGGTGCAAATTTTAAGTTAAAAGTACAATTACAATTGAAGCCATAAAGAAGTTTCATTTGCGATTATTTTGTTGATATTAATGATGGAAGTGCTAAATGCAAAATTTGTAACAAAATATTCGCGAAAAGACGCACGACCACTACATTTAAGAGTCATCTAAAATCATGACACTTCCGCTATGGCACTTCCGTTGCACCGCTAATTGATAGGACACCTCAGGTATGAAGGTATTTTTTTATAGTTAATTATTAAAAACAGAAACAGGAGCTAAGAGGAGGAGAGGTAAACTTAGATCACAAATAGTTAAGGAAATGCGAAGTTCAGGATAGGAAAGAGTGAAAGTGCGTGTCCAACCAGTCTCAGAACTGACGATGTTATGATGATGACGCATGTATATTGTATATATGTATATGTATATCTTATTAGATGATGACATTCGTACTTCATACGTATGTAATAAATGTACTCCTACGCTGAAGATATCGCGTGCAGTGTCTATTGATCGCTTAAACTAGTGCCTCAGTAAAAGCATTTTCCCGGTAAATGAAGTCGATATTTTACACAAGCGTAGAGTGACTAACATTTATAATTATATTATCTGTATTAATCGCAATGGCGTAGTGTGCGGGGGGCCAAAAGGGGCCATACTTTTTGAAAATGGCTTAATCGCCCTAAATAATAGTTTTTTAAGAAACTCATTGTGAAACTAATACCTATTCCGAGTGTTTAAAAGTAAATATTATTCACAATGAAAGGTTTTAACTCTTGATTGGTATAAAATTTACTACCCTAACTAAGCAAATAAAAACATTATCGATACTATTGTTTCTAGCATAATTTTCGTTTTTTTAACGCCATAGAGTAAAGAAACCTACGTATACGGTACAGCATTCATCGTAATCCAACAAAACAACTTCAAAGAATTTTCTTTGAGTACGTGAGGTCCTATGTAACTAGAGAAACGGACTTAAACGATGGAATTTGTAACTTGGGTACCTGAAACCAGAAATTGTCCGTAGATGTAGGTGTGTGGGTACCTACGTACAATAATACAATACGCTAAGGCTTCGGGTACGTGGTAGTACAATATAATGATTTGAAAAGCATCTGGGCAAGTAGTTGTAAATGTTGGTACAATTGATCGTGGTGTTCCCTGTACATACTTGCACATGTAAGAGCTAAACGTACAGATGATTTGTTTGGTTGCTTCAGGAACAAAAGTGCGGCCGAATGTAAAGAACGAACTTTCGTTTTACGTCCGTTCGACCCCTGAAACGTCGGCCTATTGATTTGTGTGCTTCGCCCTTGTACCTACTGCTTACTGGCTGGCAGCCTTTTGTTGGTCATTTTCTATTGTTTTCTAAGACTTTCTTTTTTCCTTCTTCTAGCCATAAAACTTGCTATTAGGCTCGGTAATTATTTCCAATCAGGCCTTCACCACTTAACAGCTCTCAAAATGTTTCCAATTATCCCCTTTCTACTTCGTAATAAGAAAACTGGGCGGCGTTTTAATTCTAAGAAAGCTCGAAAATGAACAGTAATCTAATGCACTGCAGAAACTCTAACTTTATAACAATAAAACAAACAACTTTATAATCAATAAACACCTTGTACTAACTACCGAAAAAGATGTAGACCAGTAGTAGGTATGTATACTACATTAGACATTCATATGCAACTGTTCTAGAATTATTTTATTCGATTATGCTAACGTGCCTATCACGTTGAGGTTGGCTACGCCGGGATTCGTTTTCAGCAAGTAGATATCCACACAAGTGGACCTTGTTCAAAAATACGTAATCCTAAAATGTAGCATCGTACTACAGATGGCGTTNTTGTTATTTATGCAAATGTATGTACAATTCAAAATTAAACAATATAAATATTAATAAAAAAACAAATAGATTTTCTAGTTTTAATTTCTGCAAAAGTAGAAATTAAATCGTTATTATCTAATGCAGTTGCCACCTTATTTTCTATTGAAATTAATGCCAATCCGCTGAGTATTTTGTCCATACTTAAATAATTTTCTATAATTTTTAATTTGGAGAAGCGTCTTTCTTTAGAAGCTGCAGAAAGAGGTAGAGTCAATAATATTCTTAAAGTTATTACAGTATTAAGAAAAATTCGGGGGTCTTTAGTATAGGGCTAATCTTCGGATTAGAAATTATTAGGTCTTGTTTGAAATGACTTTTCAGCGATTTTTTCCTAGAGTCATTATAGTATCTAGGTAACGCTTTTCTGGTCAATGAACTGCATGTAATACGAAAATAAATAAACCAGGCAATCAGACAGTGAAGGCACCCCCATTTGTAGTGTTTTATAAATGGTATGTGTCTTAAAATTTTGGTTCACGTCACTTAAAATTTCGCTTTCAGGTCAACTATATTTTGGATGCGACAAAACGTAAATTAGATTTCAACAATGTTGGTACCAAAAACTATTACTTCGTTTAACAAATAAAAATAGAGAACAGCCTAAACCCACCTTTGTAGGTATATACATTTCAACTGAGTTTGAAAGGATAATTTAAACGCATTGTTTGGCGAAAAGATTAGTCATGCACGCCCTTACGAAATCATGGCATTATCAAAGGTTTGCGTGATCTCGCTCAGTTTTTAAAGCCCCTAATCCACGCAAGTGCTCCCTTATGAATTAGTTGAAATAACGACGCAAATAACACGATCGCGGCTATGTTTTGTTTTAGTCCGACCTTATATACTTACGAACGTTAGTAGGCATGTTAAGAATACATTTCGATTCGACTAACAAAATTAAGGGAAAAGAAATCGACCGAATCATGTTGTCTTAATAACAAGTGCTGTGGGGGTACGCAATAAGAATATAGCTAATAACACAGCTAACAGCAGCAGGAAATAGTTATTGAGTATCATAAATGTAAAGCTTTACGACAAATTATTATTGATATAATCAGATAGCAATATTCTAATATTATTGATCCGTATTGCAAGCGGTGGGTGGTTTGGAATATAGCTTTCAAAGTAAGGCCATAAAATGCATTACAAAGCTTTAACGTATTTCAGTGGCGGTGCGGAAATATCGAACGAATACACAAGAAAACATGTCAGCGACAAAACGTACAACGTGACAGAACGTAGGTACCGTATAAACGGCTGACTACCTGCGAAGGGTCTGCTAATTTTTGGATATATTTTGGACCACTTTTATTTATCAATATTTAATTTTTTACGTTTCTCGTCACGCTGTCAAACTGACCATTTTGGCGTGCTTAAAATCTACTGTTGTGAAGCATCCATAATTCCTTTGCTTGAGTGTTTCATAATGATAAAATTATAGACAAAATAATAGAAAAACAATGTGGGCTTGAGAGACGGTGGCGCCTGAGAGTGAATTTCTATCCAACTGTCTTGCACATATTTGATTTGTTAACTGGTACGTTTTGCAATCAACACATTATTTAAGGACGCTGCAAGTTGTCGCGAAAAATCTAGTTGTATGTTTTGTGGCTGGTACGTTTTATCGGGATACGATAACAAACGAATGTGTTCTGTCAATTGTCAGGCAATAATGTAGGTAAAAAGTATTTACTTTTACCCATAACTGCTGGGTTTCAACAACGCTTTGTAGTTACAGAAAATGCAGCAGTAGCTTCTAAAACTTTGACGGCCTGTGTTAATAGTCAAGAATTTATTTTTCGGGCTTATTGTTAGTGGCTTTAGCTTCAGGGTCCTCATTTTCTGTTGATGGTTCTTCCTTCGGTTAGGTTGTTTGTTCAACATTTCGTTAAGGATAGTAGATTTTCTGTGAGGTTCAATTAGATTTCTATAAAGAGGACAACGCTACGTGTTCGCACCAGAAATAAGCTTTTAGGATACCATACATGCTACCGGAAGCAAACAACTCCAACCGAGGGAGAATCAAAGAA